TCTCGCCTTAAAAACAAATTAAGAAAAAAAATGTAATACTAATTATGGGAATTCAAACCCTTGACTACCTACTGATCACATCTTTTATTTGTAAACTGGATTTTTAGTTATTGTAAATATAATGAAGAAATGTGTTTATTTCAGCTCCTTTAAAAAAACAAAACAAGGCATAAGTCCTATAAGATAAATACACACTCTAAACAGTATTTGCCATTTTCCATGTCTCCTACATGTGGTCTTTCTCTAGTTTACTTCATTTGATGTGGTTCCTCTTCAGACACTACAGAGTAGTGAAGGAGAGGGTTTTACAGTGAGCACTTAAAAGTTTATTCCTATCTATAGGAAAATTTCCATGGAACAAAGGAAACCATTTGTATTGCTATCTTATGGTCATTTTTAAAAGAAAATACTCAATTTGGGACAGTGGAATAGAAATTAAAGCATGAGTATTATGTGAGGTTGTTCCTTTAATAGTAGTTATCATACCCATATTTGATGATCAATGCAATTCATATAATGGATTTGATTTTGGAGTTTGTCTTCCTTACAATATTGCATCCTCTAACCTGTGAATGTTGATGTACACAGTGGTCTTAACATGGGCTCTAGAATTAGACCACCAGGATGAAGCAAGTTCTGTTCTTTCATAACTGTGGTAGATGTATAATCGTTTGTCAATTTGAGGATTAAGAGTGTAGCGGTGGAGTCTAGCTTGTCAATCAGATCATAGCCAATGAGGCCTCTATGGCCTTCTTCTGAGAATTCTGGGAATTCCGGTACTTACTTCTTAGAGGTGGGAGACATAGCAGCTGACAAGACACATGGACCCACATTGATGCAGAGACCCCTGCCAGCACTGAGATGCTTCCAATGCCAAGGGATCCAAGGACTCTCTACCCACTGGCCTGTGATTTTCTACAATCGGCATCATTGCGTGTGTTTTGTGAGTCTGAAGAGGACTTTATAGATTGGTATCGGACAAATTGGCTAGCATCAGACTTATGGACTTGATCTGGACTGGGCTGGGATGTTTTCTCAACGTTCAATTGCTCTTGTATATACCTTTCTTTCTTATACACATATGTGTGTCCATGGATTTGTTTCTCGAGTCTACCCAGACTAACGCATTATGTATCTCAGTTGCTTTTCTGGAAAATGCAAAGCATAATAGAACATAGATGCTCTCTCGGTGTGTGAGAATTGAATGAAAGATGGTTTATTTCCTGTTTCCTGTTTAGAATAATGTTGACATACAGCAGTTGTTGCTAGGTGCCATTGAGTTGGCTCTGACTCTCTGGCCCTATGTTCAACAGAACAAAACACTGCCCAGTCTGGTACAACCCTAACCATTGGTATGTTCGAGCCCATTATTGAAATTACTGTGTCAGTCCATCTCCTTGAGGGTCTTTTTTAAAATCTGATCCTACATTTTACTAAGCATGATGTCCTTTTCCAAGTTGATGAGTACTCTGTCTTTTATCTCATCAATGTATGAAGAACACAGAGATAAACACATAATGCTGAGCCTCCTCTTGCTACTTAGCTAGACAGTAAGAATTGTGTTTAAAATGTTGATTCTGGGGGTATCTCAGGTACCCAGACTGGATATCATGGAATGCTGGGACACTGAATCCTGGACCATTGGGGAGCATGGCATACTCCAGAGGTTGCATCAGTGATGCCCCATATGGGATTTTCACTGGGTGAACTGAACTCTACCTCAGTCACACTTGTAACCTGATGACTAAAGCCAGAAAATACATGGAGTCTTAGGAAGCAGAAGCCAGCTGTACTAAGAGTGATGGACTGTGGGTTGGTAGACAAGCAAGGTCTTGCTATGTCAGTGCCTGCTATGCTGTAAAATTTACGTATTATAGCAGTAATCTTATGATGGTAATTCTGTTACATTTTGTTTATGATTTTTTATATTAGGGTGTATTTCAGAGGGTCATCCCCATTGAAGGTCATCCTACTGAAGCTGTGTCAAATTACAACACATTGGAAAAAGAAAAGAAGCATAGATCCAGGATTGGATTTTGAGCTTGCACTAAAGCCTAGCTCCAACTTAGGAATGATTAGTTCATACATGAGGGCTCTGCTTGATACATGCCGTAAGGAAAGGAACATAGAAGACACAGGTGCTATAGAAAAATGTAGATACTGCCTGGTTATCAGATAAAATAGCATCCGGGGTCTTGAAGGCTTGTCTCCAAACAAGCAGCCCTCTGAGTGCAATGTCAACCAAGTCCACACTGAAGAAGAACACCATCAACAGTCACTGAAGGATTGGAATCCATAAAATCTGAAGTCAAAGGAGGGTCAGAGCTTAAATTGTGAGAATCCAGTGTACAGAAGGAGATGGTTAAGATTGGAGGGCTAACATTCTGAAGAGGAGGAAACCACAGAAAAGCTTCCCATATACCTG